CCTGAGTCTCTTGATTCCAGCTCGTGTGATTTGCTGGCAGTCATAGAGTTCTATACGCTCGAGGCTGTGACAACTCTTCAAGTGCTCCAGAGATGCATCTGTGATTAGGGGGCAGTTGTCCAGCTCAATCACTTCCAGCTGGTCATGGGCACAGGCCCCATTTCCCAGGTGACGAATTCCATCATCTGTGATCAGCTCACAGTGAGAAAGACTCTACAGCCAAAAAAGAGAAAGACTCTGAAATATTTCCTGGCATTCCTCTAGCCAAAGGTTTATCTAAAATTAGAAAGAACACCTTCCTGGTTTGATTCTGATGAAATGTAGCCATCACTAGATCCATTTGGTGGAAAAAAGCAAGCAAACTAGAGTTCTGCTTTTGGCAATCAATGCTAAGATTTTTTTTCTGTGTGATTCTTTAATAAAATTAAAATTCACAATTTTCTTTTCTATAGGGATTGCTGTGTCAATTCCAAATCACAGTGACTCTACAAGAAATGAGTAAAACTTCTGTGCAAGGCTTCAGGAAAACATATCATTAAGTCTTTTCTCTCATGAAGTTTATGAGTTCACAACTACTGGCCTTTCAGTTAGCAAGTGGAAATTTCCATCAGAGCCCCTTCTGTAGGAACTATTGGGACTTTGACTCCTCCATGTGTAACTCAAAACACTTTGCCGTATTTTGTATAGTATTGCCCAATCCCCCCACTCCTTAAAAAGTCTGTATACAGAACAGTATGAAGTCTTAGTTGTTTACTTTGTTTTTTAAGATAGGAATACTTAGTTTTAGGGCGAAGCAAATTATATTTTGGGTCATCTCATGCCTTGAATTTCTGGAAATTATCATTCAGGGTGGAGTGAATTACATTAGAGAGTGAGACTCAGAGTCTCCATGTCCGTTTTGAGTCTCAACACACTGATATAAAAAACATTTAACTTTCCTAATTGCTATCTTGTTGAGGAGCTTTCCTTTAATGACCTGGAATGACACAGTAAGAACGGGATCAAGCATCGCTACAATTCTGAGGATGGCTCAGAACCAGGCAGTGTTTCATTTTATTGCATACACAGGTTTGCCATGAGTTAAAATCGCCTCCATGGTACCCAACAATGACAATGCCTATCTTACTTAGTTTCCATCTTCACAAAGTTCCTCCCTCCTTTGGTCTTCTATAAAGATCACAGTTTGAAAAAAAATTCCCTTTCCTAATGGTAGTCAGACATGAAGAAGAAACTAAAGGTTAACTTCAACAATGAGTTTTTAATTAAATCAAATGAACACATGAAGTCTGAAAGTCAAACTCACCAATACTTGAAGACGAGGACAGTGTATAGAAAGTTGGATTAATGTGCTGTCTGTTATCTGAAAGAAACAAAAAAGGTTTACTTTAGGTGTATTTCCAAATAAAATCACAGATTTTACCTCATTCCTGTATTTCTACCCTTGTCCCTCTGATAATCAATAATCAATTAACAGAATTATCAGGGCTACCTGAACTTGTTCTGTAAGGACCTACTAGACTAAGCAACAAGCATAGTCAGTGATCTTTCGCAATTTACTCACTGTTGATCCACCAGGCAAGGTTTTTGGAGGCTGTAAATCACATGGGAGAAAACATCCTATCTTTCTCCTATGGAGCTACTGTCACAGAGGTGCTGCCTTTGGGTCAGCAGTCAGCTCCCTATGGAGTACACCAACAGGGCTTCCTAGTCATCGTCAGTCTTCATATTTGGACAGCCTTGTTCCAAACTCTTAGATTTGTAAATGAGTTAAAATGTGCCCCCCTCTTTCCAGTTCTTATCTAAAGGACCTTCTCCTTAGAACCAACAAAAAAAAACAAAAAAAAAAAAAAAGAGAGAGAAGGCACAATTTTGTGTTTTTAAAAATTAAGAACATATTATTAGGTATGTTGGGAATTTCAACTAGGAAATTATTAGATATTTGGTTTATATTTTATAAGGTATGTTACAATCTCTTGACAAAGATGTCACTTGTAGTACAAAGGTGGCTTTAGCCAACAGTCCTATATACAATGAAAAGGGAAGACTCAAGAATTGATATATCTGGATTATCCTGGTGAAGAATACAAAATATATCATGGGCTGCCAGAAAAATTAAATCTATCTTGGAAGAAATACAGCTAGAATGCTGTTTTAAAAGTAAGGATAGCAAGATTTTATTTCACTCACTTTGAACAAGTTACCAAGAAAGACCAATCACCAGAGAACAGTACCATGTGTTGTAAAGAAAAGGGTCAGAGAAAAATTGGAAGACTCTACAAGGTAGAATGATACAGTGGCTGTAATGACAGGCTAGAATATAGTAACTACTGTGAGGATGGCACAGGATGAGACAGTGTTTTGTTCTATTCCACACAGGGTTGCTACAAGTTGAAAATGAAAGACTAACAACGTAACTTAAAACAAAGAACATTCAGGCAGGAAGGACAGTCTTTCACACTCATCTTATGACTGAAAGTTAACCACTGTTTCTTTAAAAGACATAGGAGAGGAGAGGCATGAAAAGGTAAGTGCATTACTCACACAAAGGATTAAATCTTTCAGAGAGGACACTAAGGCACGTACCTATAAGGAATGGGTGAGTGTTTTAGTTTAGCTGCTAAGTAGAACTAGATACCAAAAAACCAAAAAATAAAAAGTGGTTTGTTTATTTCTGGAGGCTTAGTGGTAAGGAGTTGTGATGCCAACCCAAAGGGATGAAGTTTGCTCTGTAGTAGAAAGATGGCCAATCACCTCCACTGTGAGTAATGCCTCTGAAAACCAGCTGAAGCTATGAGTCAGTTCTAACTTGACAGTACATCATAACAACAACAACAACAACAAAACACATCAATGTTCCATAAAGGAGCCTTGACAGCAGTTAAGTATCTGGCTGCTAACTTCGTCTTTTGGTTTATAATGCCAGAGTGTCTTCCCTTCTCTATTTTTACCATTATTTTAAAAGTTCTTTAGCGAATAGGAGGAAATCATGTATGACAATTATTATTCAGAGTATATAAAGAACTTATAAAATTCAATTAGCAGAAAAGGAAAACCCAATAAAAACAAAGACCCATTAACAAATGAATAGATAGAAAAACTATGTTACATTCACACAATGGACTATTACACAGTATTGAAAAACAATGAACTGGTAAAACATTACATAACATGGGGGAGCCTGGAGAACAATATGCTTAGTGAAATATCTGTCACAAAAGGAGAAATACTGCCTAACACTGGTGTTACAGCCACAGGGAGATTGGGGAGAGTATGGGAAATGAGTGGATAGATAATGAACACTGCATTAGAACAAATGAGGGGCAGAACCACCCAAAAGGAGTATGATTAGGCTTTGTATGATTGACAACAATATGGAACAAGTGGAGCACTGCAGGGAGGGCTGAGGGGAAGATGAAAGAAAATATGCAATAATCGAAAAAAAAAAATAAATAAAGCAGAACTACTGGGGGAAACACACCAAAAAAGCCAACACAGGCAAAGACTTTGAACAGGCATTTCATCAAAGGAGAATACAAACTGTCAGATATTGTGTGTCACTAAGTTGACTAGAACTCACAGCAACCCTACATGACAGCGCCCATCTGCTACAAGGCTACAATATTTGTGGGAGCAGTGTGGGGGCAGATCACAAAGTAGAGCTGCTGATGGGTTCTAATCATTGATCTTTTTGTTAGCATAAGAGGACTGAACCACTGTGCCACTAAGACCTTCAAAATGGTTTGTAAGCACATAAAAAAAAGGTCATTAAAGCAGTAAGAAATTAAAATCAATGAGAAATGACTTTGGGCTTATTAATATCATTATAATTAAAAAAGGAAAACAAGTCAAGTTATGTGACTATTGTTTATTTACTAGTTTCCAGGACTCTTTAGAAAAACATTTAAGCAGCTTCATGGTTTGAACATTTGGGCCTCTCCGTAATGGAACTTTTTTTTAAGGTGTACACTTTCATATTTCTAAAACATATATGATAAGCATCATACTTTTACTGGGCATATCTAGAGAGTATGTCAATGAGTGAAAAATCAGCTGTCCTGAGAGCTCTGGTGGCCTAGTGGCAAGAAGCTGCATTGCAATTCCAGAGGTGTACATTTCGAATCCACCGGATGCTCTGCTGGAGAAGGAGGGGCAATCTCCTCCTGTACATTTGACGGTATACACACAAAAAATAATAATAATAAGAAATTAGCTCTCCTGTAAGTATATAGTGCCCGACAATGGAATTAAGAATTTGAATATTCTGAAATGCATGTCTGTGTGTGCATCTATCTAACTAACTATTTTTGAGTAAAAATTCACAACCTTACCTGAACACATTCTTCCAAATCCATCTTTTCAAGTTCATGGCAATTCTACAAAGTACATAACCAAATATTACAATGAAAACATTTAAAAAAATGGAGAAAATTCAAGGGTAGGAAAGCAAGAGGTGCTACTAAATATACTAATGATACTGAATTGCACAGCTGTTGTCATAGTAATGTGATTTCTCTATTTTCCACTAATAACACATCCTAAAAGGCCTTTATAAACAGCATTTTAAGTATTACAATTTGGAGGACACAGAAAATTCCTTAAATCCTTTCCATGCTCTTCAAGATATTTTGTGCATTTTCAGCAGCAAGAGAGAGCTGAGGCTGTACAAGTTTACCTAAGTCCCAGGTCACCAATTCCTATCACCCTAACTGCACATTTTTTCTGAAATAAAAATATCAAGTTTAAACTTAAAAATCTGGGAAAATACTTACCCTGGCCAGAGTGGTAAAGCCCACATCTGTTAATTGAGAACATCTCGCCACCTCCAATATTCTGTTAAAAACAAAGTGTAAGTCAAGTCCTTAGTCACTGAAAACTGGTTACTGAAATAACAAGAATTTAAGAAAATAACTTCCTATTCCCTAAGGACCATATTAGAAAGTTGTATTAACAGCTAAGCAAATCTATACTTCAAATCTCTCCATTCATTTACACAGGATCATCACAAAGTGGTCTTGTAAATACTACCACATTTCAGAGTGATGAAATCAAAGAACACAGAAGAATACAAAGGAAGCTTGGGGTTAATGCCAAAATGCATGAGAAATGCAGTTAGAGCCTTCTTGATGAGATATTGCTCACCCTCAGAGGGTAGCCTGCTCCTAGAAAACAAAGGAAATGGAGATTAAATACTCTGTTTTAATTAATCTGACGCCATAAACAGCCTCTTAAAAATACTATAAAGGGACTGCTTAAACTGAGTTCTTTCCCAAACATGAAATTCCGTATTTATACTCCTCCAAAAGATTCTTAGTGAGGCCAAAGGAAAGGTAAACTGAGCACATGGCCACTTAACAACTGCTAAACACCTATCTAAATAACAACCAGAGGACTAGGCAATCAAAAGAAGTACTTTCCTGTGAAAATTTGGTTACCTCTTCCAAAGAATACTTGCATGTCTGTCTACAAAGAACTTAGGAGATAAAGTAAAAAGGATTAAAAGATGAGATCATTATTGAAATGTAAATCTTCAGTATAATATTTGTGAAGGGACTCCGATAGTACAGTGAACTGCTAATGGAAACATGAGCCGTTCAAATCCACTCGCTAAATACTTTCAAGGAAAAAGGATTGGAAGTCTCCTCTCATAACGATTCAGAGCCTTGAAAATGGATGGATCCAGGTCACTATAAGTCGGAATTTGGTAGTGGGCTTGGATTTGTTTCCACAAACAAGAAATGAACTATCAGGAGGACTTGAAACACCTGCTGCAGAGGATTAAAGACTTTCAATTCCGATTCCATGTTAACATCAAGAAAACAAAAAATCCTCCCCACCAGGTCAACAGGCAACATCATGAAAGATGTAGTCAGGAAATCAAAAGACGAGTTACATTGGGAAAATCTGCTCTCAGGAATATCTCCAGAGTTCTAAAAGAGCAGTGATATCAGTTTAAAAACAAAGGTGTACCATGGTCTTCTCAATTGCTTGTTATGCATCTGGAAGCTCGATAATAACAAAGGATGACAGAAGAATGGATGCTTTTGAATTGTGTTGGAGAACACTGAATATCTCATGGACTGCTAAGAGAATATACAGATCTATCCTGGAGAAAGTGAAAGTAGGCAAAGATGGTGAAACTCCATTTTGGGTGTGTTGATAGGAGTGTCAGTATTAAGAGAGGAAGACTCTCAACAACACACACTGACATAGTGAATATAACAATGGGGTCAAGTGTGTTGGAGATGGTGAGGACAGCACAAGCTAGGGCAGGGTTTAAATCTGTTGTTCAAAGGATCACTAAGAGTCACAGAAGAATGGAGCTGAGTACTCCTCTCTTAAAACAGATAAAGGTTGTTGTTACGTGCTGTTGAGTCGTCTGACTCATAGTGACTCTAGGTGCAACAGCCCTAAACCCTGCTCTATCTTGTGCCAATCTTATTATCTCTGACACATCTACTACCCCCATTACCCCAGTCACTGAATCAATCCATCTCATCGAAGGTCTTCCTCTCATGTGCTGTCCCTTCACCCTCCCAAGCATGATGTCCCTCTCCAAGGGCTACTTATAGGGTGTCCCCCCTTTTAAAAATACTCCCTTGTATTAGCAAATATTTTGAAATAGCAAAAAGCCGTGATGGTACAATGATTAAAGACTTCACTGTCAGCCAAAAGGATAGTGGCTCAAACCATCAGCTTTTCCATGGGTAAAAAGACGTAGTAAATGGACCCTTACAAAGCTTAATCTAGGAAATGCTATTGTTGTTTTTCAAATGAGTAATTTATTTTATTTAATTAAAATAGGTTAAAAAGAGACTGTGTAAAAAATTAGGAGTCTCAATAATTTATAGTTATTTACAGATTTTGGGTGTTAGTAGATATTGAGAAAAGAGAAGCCCACAGAACTCACCCCCTCCCCCACGAGCACTGTGGACATCATTTCTGTACTTTCAGGCAGATTCTGCCAACAGCTTCTCTGGACAATTGGTAAATGGTGCAGAGGTGACAGCTGGGTAGCAGGTACAGCATGCTCCTCTACAATGAAGGATGAAGAGATGCTGCAAGCCCGAAGAACTCTTTTCTTCCTAACTTGTTAGCTCTCCGTCATTCACTCTTGTCCAAGCCAGTGTGGACACTCGTTGGGTCAATGACCCCTCTACTTGTAGACTGTGTGCTGCTGGTGGCCTTTTGTAAACATGTCTCCACACTGACACAAAGCCAAGTTTCCAGACAAAAGAGGGAAAAGAAAAATAGAAGCCACAAACTCCAGTTTCCAGGGACATCCTGGATTACGTAATATTCCCTACCTAGCCCAGAGCTTGGCAAGGCATCAAAAGCTCAGTTGGAATGTTCTGTGCACTTGACAGGAGTGAATGCTGGGGAGTGAGCCCTCGCCTTGCTCCTCCTTAAAAAGAAAATATAATGAAAACAGAAAGCCTGCTCCAGGCGAGCTCCTGCAGTGCTGGGTAAGGTGGAGCACATGCGGCAAATGCCCAGGGAGGAACAGACCCCTCCAAAGCAAAACAAAGAGGTGCACCTTGTAACTGGGGCTTCTGGGGATGGCATCTTTGCCATCAACTGTGGACAACCAGGACCTGTGTGGCCTCCTGCAGGATGCTCTGGTATCCAGTTCCTGATGGAAGGCATGTGTCTAAGTAATGCTTGGTGGCTCTGAGGAGCAGAGCCCCTCCTGAGATGTCACAGACATCTTCTCTGACTCAAGGCTGGGAGCTGTTTTTGGCCCCTCATGCCCAGCATGGAGGAACAACAGCAAATCAGCAATAAAGGCCTGAGGTGGGGTGAAGGCACCAATGGGAAGTCAGTCCAAAATATTAGTTTCAAATGGGACCACATGGTAATAGGACAGATTGGTGACATAGGCTGGAAGGTTGTCACCAACTGCCAGCTCTGAGGTAAACTCACTACCATTCTCAAACAGGTGCTGTGCTGAGTCAACATCCAGATGTTGGTCCTTCCCATTTGGTATACTACGATCAGTGACTACTGTCTCTGTATTTGCTAAACAAAGGCCATTGGACCTCATGATTTCTGATATTTTGACTGGGCTTTGAAAGCTGGGCTGAATTTTGTGGACAGTATCATTTTTTAACACTTGATTCAGAGAGGATCTTTCAAAGAATGTGAGCACAACTTCTGACCTGGAATATTTACATAGCATGCTGATGATCGCCTTGAGAAGCTTCACCAATTCATTAATTCTGGTCTCAATATCAGGCATACCAGCCCTGGTAGCAATGGCGAGCGCGCCAGAGCAGGCTGGTCCTGGAGGAAGGAGTGGCAGAGGTGACCCAGCATGCAGCCCAGGTCGGTGTAGCTGTGGTGCAGGTAGAGCACATTGTGTTTCACCACTCTGTGCAAATTTCGAAGAACTCCTTGTCACCACAATGGGTGATTATTCGCTGGCGATTGCCATTTACCCAGCAGCCACACATCAACATGTTAACCAGAGAAGTGCCCTCAAACACTGCCTAGGCCATACCCACGGGGCGTGCACATGCCTGGCTGCACAGGGGCACCCAGGAGTCGAGGCTGGGAGCGGAGGTGAGGGCTGGGGTCCGAGTTGGGGTCGAGGCCAAATGCCACCCTTGGTCTGTAAGCTGAGTGAGCCTTGTGACCTGATGTTGTTAAGTACTTTCGAGTCATAGATGACTCATAGCCACCCTGTGAACGAAAGACCTGAACACTTGTATAACTTTCATAGTTTCTCCATGTTCACAGAATTTCCAAAGGCAAACTATTTTGGAAGTTGATGCCACTCCTGCTTCCAAGCTTGTTTTAATCAGGGAGCTCCACCAAACACTGTCCATCATGGGTAACCATTATCATATTTGACACATCATTGTCACAGTGTTTAGCATCACAGTAACCACGAGTTATTGTGTATAGCAAGTGGACAGACCAGTGCTATATCACTTTGAAGAATGTTTGACCAAAAACAAAAGCAGGCCTGAGGGCCACAGATTAAAATAATACACCTCCACCTTTGGCTTAAGGAAATACTACAGGGTAGTTTTAACTATTCTATAAGGTTGTTATGAGTTGGAATTGACTGAACGGCACACATACAAAACAAGAGTATGTACCTGTGATCATTACCACAATATAAATTACTATAACCCTTTACAATTTCCTTTCAAATATTCTATATAAAGAATTAAATGGAAGCACTGTTGGAGAGGGTGTAGAGACACTGGAACTCTCATACATTGGTGATGGTATCATAAAATAATGCAACCACTGTGGTACATGGTTAAAAAAAGATTGTAAAGGGGAGCTCTGGTGGCCTAGTGGCAAGAAACTGCCCTACAATCCCAGAGGCGCACAGTTCAAATCCACCAGATGCTCTGCCGGAGAAGGAGGGACAATCTCCTCCTGTACCAGTCAGATCTGATTTGATGGTATACACAAATAATAATAAAAATAAGATTGTAAGTAGAGCTACCACATAATCAGGAACCCCACTACTAGATATATATCCTCGAGAAACAAGAGTTTGACACAAATATATGTATACTCATGTTCACAGCAGAATGATTTATAATAGCAAAATTATCAAACAATGTAAACGTCCACCAAGAGATGAATGGTTAAACAAATTATGGTACATACACACAATAATATATAACATTAAGACTAAGGATGAATCCATGACATCTCACAACATGGATAAACCTGGAGGTATAATGCTGAGTTAAGTCAACCATAAAAGCAAAATTATTACATGAAACCACTATTAGTACTATTATTATAAAAAGTCAAGAAAAGGTTAATGTACAGAAGGAAATATACTTTCATGGCTACCAGAGATGGAAAGAGGGGGGAAAAAAATCATAAGCTAAATGAAAGACACATATTAAAAACATTATATTAGGTACTAATGTACTACATCCTAGTTAGTTATTATAAGTGGGTTGTTGTTTGCCATCAAGTCAGGACCAGCTCAGAGCTGACCTAGCGAGCTTTCAGAGGCAGTAAATTCCATGGGAGGAGACTGTCCATCCCTCTCCTATAAAACAACTGGTGGATTCGAACCACGTGCCCGTGGGATGGTAATGCAGCTTCAAATCATTAGGCCATGGATCTTAAATTTATGAGTAACCATGCAACTTTAGTCTCTTCCCAACCAGAGTGAAGAAAAATTAATAAAAATTAAAAACTTAAAACAATCAGTCTATAGGGCTAATACACTGTATGAATCACTACTTCTGTTAACCTGAGATCAGAAAAACTAAGATCATAATAAAAGGTCCTGACAAAGTGTAAGAAGATAATACAGAACAAAATTAAAAACCATAAAAAAGACCAATTTTACTGATCTGATAGCGACTGGTGGAACTTCTGAGACTATGGCCCTTTGATAGCCTCCCTTCAAACCTGGAACTGAACCAACTCCTATAGAATATCTTTCCATAGAGAAACATCATGTTTGGGAGGGTGGAGGGGCAGCACTAGGGAGAAAAACCCTTGATGAGATGGCTCGATTCAGTGATTGGGGTAATGGGAGTGGGTGTGTAGGAGACAGTGACAGGATAGAGCAGGGTTTAGGGCTCTTGAACATAGGGTTGCTATGAGTCGCAAGCGACTTGGCAGCACGTAACAACAAGATCTTTCCAGAGTCTAGGCAGACAGATAAGTCTATAACGTAAACAATAACATATGTGAAGAACAAGCAAAAGACATGTGGTGTTTTTTTTTTTTTAAACAAGACCATTTGCCTCAAAACAAAGTTCAGAAGGTAGGAAGGGCAGGAAAAATGGGTAAGTGAAGCCTTTATTTATCAATTTGCAAAATGTCTTTTTTCTTCCCTAGTATAGAATACCATGGACTGCCAAGAAAACAGATTAATCGTAGAGAGGATTAAACCAGGCTGCTCCTTGGAGGCAAGGATTCTGGGGCTTCGTCTGACATACTTTGGACATGTTGTAAGGAGAGACAGGTCTTTAGAGAGGGACATCATGCTGGGTAGAGTAGAGGGACAGTGCAGGAGGGGAAGACCCTCTATGAGGTGGATTGATTCAGTGACTGGGGTACTCGGGATGGGTGTGTCAGAGGCAATGAGATTGGCACAGGATAGAGCATGGTTTAGGGCTGTTGTACATAGGGTCGCTATGAGTCACAAACAACTCGACGGCACATAACAACAACAACAACAGTATAGAATACAAGAAATAAGGAAGCTCTGGTGGCCTAGTGGCAAGAAGCTGCACTGCAATCCCAGAGGCAGGCAGTTTGAATCCACCAGATGCTCTGTTGGAGAAGGAGGGGCAATCTCCTCCTGTACCAACTGGATCTGATTTGATGGTACAAACACACAAAATAATAAATAAAAATTAAAAAAAAATAATAATAATACAAGAAATAGAAAATAGGGATTTGTACTCCTTGGTTCACATAAATTACAGGCATTATTCAACTATGGACATGGTTAGGTTTCAAAGACCACTTTGTTAAATGAAATTAGAGGATGATCACATCAGTTCAGCAAATGGAGGATTACCACATTGTTACTTAGTGGTGAAAACAACTTCAGAACCTGGACCCTGTCAAGATGACATGTATTGTTATGGTAATCACAGTCAGTGTTACTGTCATTCACAGTGAGGAACTGATTATTACCGGATGTATGCTGGTAATAAACAAATAGTCAAACAGCAATTATTTTTGCTACTATCGAAAGTGCAAAATGTTGAAAAATACAGTTGATAAGTAAGGGGTAGATATACAATGTAATCAAAGTACAAAACATGTAGGTAGACACTCAGGTTTCAGCCTGGAACTTATCTGTCTTTGGTCTTTTACCAAGGATTTTTCCAGTGCTGAAGTTTGACAGCACAAAAACATGTAGGTAGAAAGCTGAAAGGATAGTAGCCTTACATTGTCTACTTTAAAGATTTCAACATCCTAGGGGATGAATGTAGCTTCTGTTCTTTTTAATTTTTCAGCTAAACAAACAAACAAACAAACAAACAAAAAATATTTACCTCTGGTGGCCTAGTGGCAAGAAGCTGCACTACAATCCCAGAGATACGCGGTTTGAATCACCAGATGCTCTGCCGGAGAAGGAGGGACCCTGGCCTCCTGTACCAGTCAGATCCGATTTGACGGTACACACACACACACACACACACACACACACACACACACACACACACACACAAAATAATTTTACAAAACAAAAAAAGTTTACCTAAGCCGTGGACAGTTCTGACCTAGAGCATTCAGGATGGCATCTGTGATGTTGGAGCAGCCTGAGGCACAGAGGGACTGCAACTTATGGCACCCTCTGCATATAGTAATGAGACCTTCATCTGTGATTTGCTAAAAAAGAGCAAACATACCAAGATTTTAGAATTTAGCAGAAACAACAGAAGAAAACATATTACATCTCAGATAAGAAACCTTAGATAAGAAATCAGGACAGGTTTAACACCAATCAGGTAGTAGCTCTGAAAGAAAATAAACACACTGCTTCTTCCTTTCAGTTTCATTTGATTTCCTTTTCAAGAGAATCTGTTTTGAGTGTAGAGGCAAGAAGCTATAACAGCATTCATTTCAATTAATGGGGATGGGAATAGCATGGGATGCATTATAGTATAGGGATGCATTATAGTATAGGTTCGGCCAAATGATTTAAAAATGTTCTCCAGAGAATCTCAATGGGTTATAAAGTGTGAATGCAAACAATCTGTACCAAAAATATTTAAATACTGAAGTTTGTAATAATTTCTTTTTAGAAAATAAACAAATAGGATGAAATTATAGTTAGAATTACCAGTTATCTTTCCTGTCTACCATACTGATCATCTTAAATCAGAGACATACGTACTGTTAAGCATGTAAAAAGCCATCTGTGTATTTACCAAATCCCCAGTATTTCAGTGGAAAACCACTGAGCTTAAAGACTAGAATTCATACCATAATAATACTGAAATGAATTATGAATATGGAATAACCAAGAGAAGGACTACTTACCAAGCAAGTCTGTAAATTCAAAGTCACAAGTTCAGGACAGTGTGCACCTATGTACTTAAGTGCTTCATCTTCTAGCTAGAAGTTTTATAAAGAAAAAAAGTTTTCAGAATTAATCAATAGTCTAAATACAGTCACTCAACTTTAGAAACAATGAATCACAAACATTAATATGACTATCATTTTATCCGTTCTGAACATATAAAAATCATATTATCACCAAATCAAGAAAAAAGATGAAATAAACACTAGTTTTTGTGCATTTTTATTTCTGATAAATTAAATATGCCTCACAGAATTTTGCTGATGGATCATGAAGGTATGACAATTTTCACATTTTTATATCTCCAATTAAGTTACAAAAACAAACTTTTGGAAGCAGGAGTTGAAAAGGAATCCAACGTTAATCTGCTTCTAGAAGATCAGTGCCATGCTTACAGTGCTGAGAACAGATGGTAAGTAATTGACTATAATGAAGTATTCCAATCAATATTTTCCAGGATTCCATAAATAACCAGAAGCTCAAGCTGTTGTTTTAAGGCAGTTAGACTTTCAAAACTCTGCTTTTAAGCAGTCATCTCTCTCCTACCATGGGGACATTTTTTTAAATCTTTTTAGGTTTTTTGTTTTTTTTTTGAATGGGGACATTTTTAATGGAATCCCAGGCATGATAAGTAATCATGGATAAAAATGAAATAATAAAAAGTCTTTTGTCAATTTTGAATCTACTCTTAAGTCATCACCTTTCAAATATCACCTAGTTAATTCTTTTTCACTACAGAACATTGGTACAATGTCATTGGCAGGAAATAAGCATCAACACTATAAAATGTAGGAAGCTATGTACTTGGCACTTTAAGAAAAAAATCTGGTGGTTAAACAACTAGTGCAAAATGCCAGGACTGCTTTCCCTTCCCTATAGTAGAAAACTTCAGCTAGTAACAACACAGCAAATTTTCTTTTCAGTTCAGGTTATATTGCAGGAAATCTTGCCTACAGTGCATGCAGTGGTTGTTTCACCTTGCCTCATCACCCAAAAATCCATTCTGCAAGGAGATGTTTATCTTGGGTCAGATGTTAATCTTTCTTATACTATCTTATTCTAAACACTTACATTTCAGCAATCACCTGTCTTTATTCCTAATATACAACGATTAACATTTCTCTAAAGCTAGCACCTTGGAATTGTTTACGGCTAAGCTTATGGCTGCTTAGACTTTCACACACAAAAAAGAGTATTACCTGTGTACAACCTTTTAAGAATAGGGCCTTGAGACCTCCACAGCCTTTCACTAGGGCTTGGATGCCATCCTTGGTTACCTGGTCACACCAGGAAATGTTCAGTTGCTCCAACAGTGGACAGCCCTCACTTTGATAAAAATAAATAAGATAAACATGTAACTAAATTCAGTTCCAAAATCATCAGTTTTATTTCATTGGCTATTTAGTCAGGGAATGAAAACAGGTCTATTTTATCTCACATATATATTCTATATATACACACACTATCTTACTAATAGGGGGTTCTGGTGGCCTAGTGGTAGGAGGGTCACACACTGCCAACTCAAAGACAAGTGGTTCAAATCCATCAGCTGCTTGATGGGAAAAAGACAGGCAATCTCCTCCAGCTATGTCCGAGTTGGTTCTGGCTCAAAGGTACAAGGCACATAACAACAACTTATTAGTAATGGAGCCATCTGATGACAGTTATAGAAAGGCTTCAGGCCTTTTGTTCATAGGTCACTATGAGTCGTGCTTGATTCGACAGCAATCAATAACATGAGTGTCAAACTGTAACTGACTCATATTTGACTCTCTAGTGAAATTTCAGAGGCAGTAAATTACACAGGAGGAGACTGCCCATCTTTCTCCCAGGGAGGAGCTGGTGGATCCAAAGAACACACCTCTGGTTTGACAGCACAACTCCTAACCAGCAGAACTCTATGGTTTAATTACTGAGGCCAAAACATTATGCTGCTTTTCAGATACATTTGATTTTTATATGGAATGTTATACTTTAATTCTTTCTGCACTTGATCAAGCATCTTAGTGGTTTCTAGATAGAAGGCTATAGACACTTGATTAGTCTAACAGCATAAAAACCATATGATGTTGTTATAAAGTGCTGTCAAGTTGACTACGACTCTTAGCCACTTTATTAGATTAGAATCTTGCTTTACCCTGTACCATTCTATGAGATGATGACAAAAAGATTGGAAGGCCTTACATGCTTAAGATATCTAGTTAATAATCAGCTCCTAAACTTTGTTTAATGATTTTAATCACTATGCTCTAACATGTGCCATTTAAAAAAAAAACAAACACAAGCCGTCAGAGAAATTTAGTCATTCATGTTTAAACATATTACTCTTTGCAGAAAATCTAGTTCATCATTTCATCTAGATGGATCCTGAAATTTGAACAAGGAATAAGACAAAAGATCTACTGTGAATTACAGTGCATATTCATAAAACATAAACACCTTTAATTCTAGCCTTATTCAAAATATTTTAACACTGTAGTTTTTGAATATTAAGCATGGTTCTAAAGAACTTACCTCAGAGCTTTTAGAGACATGTTCGTTATTGATGTGCAGGAAGCTAAGTCAAGGTGTCTGAGTTTGGAACAGAACTTGCTAAGGCTAGTACAAGTACTGAAAAATAGAAAAGGGAGAAATTAAAAGAATTTACAAAAATTAGAGAACATCCTCAGTATAAGACAGACCATACTCATTGAACATGGTAAGGGAATTTTAAAAACTCATACAATTGTTGTTGCTGTGTACCACAGAGTTGGAATCAACCCATTGCTGACCCTCTGGAGAGTTTTCAGAGACAGTTAATCACATGGGAGGAGACTGCATGTCCTTCTCCCACAGAGCAGCTGGTGGATTCGAACTGGGTGCCTTCGGGATTTCAGCACAGCTTCTTGCAACTAGGCCACCAGAGCTCTAAAATGAACAATTCTTTAATATAATATGATACCTATACTCTGTGTAAGATTTCCTTAGTTGCAAAAAAGAAATTAGAACTGTGGTTAGAACCCATGAGCTACTCCATGGAAAAAAGATGTGGCACTCTGGTTCTGTAAAGACTTCACTATTAGGGTGTCAGAATACTATTTTTTTTTAATTTGAAGGAAAGTTTATCATTCATATTGGATTTTCACCTGAGCACTCATAAAGATCTTGTTCGATTACCAGTTGCTGTTTCCTTTCAACTCAGAAATTCTCCTTTTTTATCTATGAATACATTTATTTTGCCTTGATTTTTAAAGGAAAGTTTTACTAAATATAGAATTCTTGATTGATAGTTATTTTACCTTTCAGTACTTAGAAAGTCATGAGTACTTAAGAGTCTCATATAAAGTTTTTTCAATCATTCAAATATTTCTTTTTTTCCTGCCCCTTCCTCTCCTCTGGAATTCCCATTCAATACAATGCATTCTTAATACTTCTCACAACTCCCTTAGGCTCTGCTCATTCTTCTTTAAAATTGTACCTCTCTATTGTCCAGTCTGTGTAATTACTATGAAACTATTTTCAAGTTCACTAATGATCTGTTCTGCTGTTTCTAATCTGGTATTGAGACTACTAGTGAACTTGTCAACTCCAGGATTTCTATTTGGTTGGTTCTTATTTGTCTTTCTCCACATCCTGCAACTAGTATTGTCTATTTAAAAGTCACTGTCATCAAATCCTTTTAAGTAATTCAGTATCTCTATTTTCCATTTTTTCAGCTTTTTAGGTGTGAAACCTTGCGTCTTCAAAGCTTTGTTGTCAATGTGTTATTTTCACAGCATAGTGTTCAGTTGAAGTAAAGCTTTTTCCTCTGTGAAGAAGGATTTGTGTTTGCGATACAGATATCTATCAAAATTATAGGACATTTCAAAGCTGTCCCTATATTTTGGGTCTCTTTGTACATGTATGCAAACTGTTTTCACTAGATATATGGTTGGCTTGAGACAACTGCTGCAATCTTAGCTTAGTGGAGCCTGTGGTCTTCTTTAGTGTCCCTTTTATTGAAAATGTTTCAAAGCATTACAGTCTGCTTTGGCTCACGCCTGTCCTGCTCTGATGAACTTCTGTACAGAAAGAGCTAAGGAGGAAGGAGAGCAGTCCCAGGCAAGATTATCACACATTTATGCTTATTCAAAGTTAAGCAGTTATCATGTATAAATAACTCTCAGTTTGTTGTTTGTTGATTGGAAATCTGAAAAGGTTTCTGACAATTTGTACAGCTTTACAGTTGTCTTCCCCCAACCCTCACCCTATTTTTTTGTTTTCTCTTTTCCCCCCTATAGTTGCTTTCTATGAGAAAATGTGTGGTCATCCTCACTCTGTTGTACTGGAAATGACCAACTGATTACCAGTTTTAAGCCATTACGTTTTGGAAAGGCCATAGAGAAATGAAGTATAATGTGTACTTCTAGCAATCTACTTTGTCATATATTGTACACACATTTGAACAGTGCAAATTTAATGGGTTTTGACAAATGTATACCCTTGTATAACTATCACCCTAATCAAAACATAGGATAAACCCATAACCCTGCTAAACTTTCCCTTCTCCCTATCTCAAGTCTACACTTTATATTTGATTTTCTTTTCCGATAATATGCCACAGTATATATACCATTATTTGTTACTGGCCATTTGATTACTTTCAGGTTGAGTACATAAAGAATAAAAGAAGCTAAAAAGTCATTGTTTTCAATCAGTCTGTAATTTTTCTTTTCATTTCCTCAATAGTGTATAATAAAGAACAAAATTAAGTTTACCAAAACAACCATGAGATATCATCTCACCCCAGTAAGAACAGCAAAATTTAACAGAGCAGCAAACAAATGCTGGCGAGGTTGTGGAGAAACAGAAACCCTTATTCACTGTTGGTAGGAGTGTAAAATGGTGCAACCACTCTGGAAGGCAGTATGATGCTTTCTCAAAAAGTTGGAAATAAGAAAAAAAAAAAAAAGTTGGAAATAGAAATACCATCTACTGTGAACATACCCTAAAGAAACCATAACTGCACTCCAGGCAGATATATGTACATCCATGTTTACTGTGGCCTTGTTCACAATAGCAAAGAGTTGAAAACAAACTAAGTGCCCATCAACAAATTAATGGAGAGAAGCTCTGGAATATTCACACAATGGAATACTATGCTGCATTGAAAACCAAGGAACTCATGTAATGTTATTCAAAATGGGTGACCTTGGAGGACATTATGCTGAGTGAAACATTTTAGTCACAAAAGGACAGGTGCTGCATGGTGTAGAATGGGACTGACATCAGGGTTGGAATGAGACTGAGAAAAACTGGATAAATTATGTATACCGCATTGAAACAGATGACGGAGAGAACTGTTTGAAAGCAATATATGATTGGGTATTTTGGGTATGACAAGAGTTCAGAATGAAGGTTGCATAGTGGAATATACTTGGGGCGGGCTTCTATACCAATGAAATAATTTTTCTTTTACTTTTCAAAGAGAAGAGCAAACTGAGGGGAGGGGTGGGCAGGAAGAAAAGTGCAACAATGAATATATGGAAATCCAAAATCTCTGTACGTTCATTAAAATTAATTTAAAAAAAAGAAAACCTCAACTTAAAAAAATTTAAATTTACCTATTTCAAAACTGTGAAGATTTTCTTTTCTATTTCCTTCTGGAAGCTTTACAGTGTAGCTTTTATATTTAAGTTATATCTATCCTCCCCTTTTTTATTATTAATTTTAATGAAAGTTTACAGAGACTTCGGATTGCCATTCATTCACTGTTGTCTTTTTCTCCCTGCCCACCCCACTAAAATAGACATAGTTTTAAAATTTTTTTAAAAACTTGAGATTTTTAAAAAATCAACAAATAAATGAATAGAGAGGCTGTGGTATATTCACACAATGGAATACTATGCAGCCCTAAAAACCAACGAACTCATAAAATATACAAAATGTGTCACCCTGGAGGACAGTATGCTAAGTGAAATATCTCAAGCACAAAAGGACAAATACTGCATGATGTCACTGTTATAAAATAGGACTAACATGATGGTTGGGAAAAACTAAGAAAAGGGGATAATGTACACTGCATTGAAACAGATGAGGGAGAGAAATGTTTAAAGGGAATATATGATTAGGTATTATTTGCATAACAGTCCAGAATAAGAGCTGCACAGCAAAGTGGACTGTGTGGGAGGATGGGAGAGAGTTATGTAACAAAGAAATTTTTTTTCAGAGAAAAGCAAACTGGGGGGTTGGGTAGGGAGGAAAATGTGCAACAATGAATGAACAGAAATCCAAGTTCCTAACTTGGGAGAGACTGGAGAGCATTATGTTGAGTAAACTAACTCAGTCCCACAAGGACAAATACTGTATAAAACCATTACTGTAGAATGAGTATGAATGAAGATGATGGGCGAGGATGGAAGCAGAGGGATGAGGATGGGCAGGAGGGTCGGTTGATAATCATTCAGTTTCACAATGTGATGGGCTGGGGATGGTGAAGGATCTTTTGTAAAAAACAATGTATTCAAACTTTGTAACTAAATCGGTACAAAATTTAAACAAAACCCCCCCAAACTTGGTGATTTTAATGAAAGTTTACAGAAAATTTAAAAATTTTTTCTTAATTTTTGCACATTTTCTTCCTTACTCCTCCAGTTCACGTAAAAAAAAAATCATTCACTGTTGGATTATTTCCTCCTTCCTCCTACCCCCAGTCCACTCTGCTAAGCATCTTGAATGTTGTCATAAACAGTTCTTTCCTTCATCTGTTCCAATATAGTGTTCATTATTTATCCCCTTTTTGCTTTGTTTCCCCACAGCCCTTATATCAGTCCAGTGGTATTAATATCTGTTCTTCATGCAATTGCAAATAATGCAGCGATAAGCATGGGTGTGCATATATATGTTTGGGTGACAGTTCTGGTTTCTTTACAGTACATTCCTAGTAGTGGAATTGCTGGGTCTATTAATAGTATTTCTAACTTTTTGAGAAAGCACCATTCTGCCTTCCATAGTGGATGCACCATTTAACAATCCCACCAGCAATGAATAAGGGTTCCAATTTTTCCACAACCTCACCAGAGGTTGTTTGCTGCTCTGTTGAACTTTGCTATTGTTACTGGGGTGAGATGGTATTTCATCATGGTTTCAATTAGCTACATGGTGAATTAATTATATATTGTGAGGTAGGGAGCCAAGGCTAATTTTTCCTCCTCATATGAATTACAATTACTCTAATAATATTTTTCTGAAAAGACTAACCTTCTCCAACTGAATTACTTCAGTACTTCTGTAAAAAAAAAATCAAGTGATGATATATGCTCAAGATGTTTACCACAAACATTTTTCTAGTTAACTTATCCACGTACCTATACGGACACTGCAACTACACTGTCATGATGACTACAGCTTTACAGTCAGCTCTAAAATCAAACCGCTCCTTTCTCTTAAAAATCTTACTAGGACTTTTTTTGACTGTATTGTATTGAATATAGAGACAATTTGAGTAGAACAGATATTATTACAATAGTGAATATTCCCTCATTTATTTAGGAATATGGAAGAATTTCTCTAGGGATCAAGTAATCTTTTTCAATGTATAAGACTCTGACACACTTTTATCAAGCTTATACAAAGCACTTCATGTTTTCTTATGCTATATGAAAACTATACTGCAAATAGTATTTTTAAATTCATCTTACAATTATTCATACTTAAAAAAGAAAAAGTTTTACATATTGGCCATACTTCTCAGGCCCTTCTAAACTGATTTAATAATTTCTAATAAAATGTTCAATAGAAGTAGTGAGATTAGATATCTTTGCACTGTTCTTGACCTTACATGGAATGTGTTTATTCTATCTTCTACCATTAAATATGTTGTTAACCCAAATCCAATGCCTCAAAAAGATTCTGACTCATGGCAACCCTCTACTGGGAATTTCAGGTTGCAAGGGTCTGTCTAGTTGGACCTAATTCTAGTTAACCTTCCTTTAAGTCTTTTAGGTTGTCTATCACAAGGGAGGAACTGTCTATCTTTCACTCTGGGAGGAGTTGGTGGAATCAAACTGGCACTGCAATTCTCTATGGAATACACCATCAGCTCCCTATTTATCAGGCTGTAGAAACAGGAATCATGATATAAACAGTTATATGCATACCCATGTACAGGGCAGGGAGTTCTGGGGTATATTCTGAAGAGTATGTACTTCTAATCCAAAAGTCACACTTTTCTGGTGGCTTAAAATCACCACAGGAGGAAGATGGCTATGCTATTCCCATGGGATTTATAGCCTCAGAAACTCAGTGGATATTCAGTTATGAGTTGGTTCTCAATGAATGCTTAGAGATCACTGCTGCAATCACGATGTCAATACAATTCACTGGAGTTGTTCTCTTTTGCTGAGCCCTTCACTTTTCCAAGCATGATTGTCTTCCTTCAAATTATAGCCTCTTCTAGCAACATGCCCAAACTATGTGAGACAAAGCTTTGCCAATTTTGCCTCCAATGAACACTCTAGCTGCACTTTCTCTAAGACATATCTATTTGTTCTTTGGGCAATTCAAATGATATTCAGTACTCTTCTCCAAAACCACAGTTCAAAGGCATCCATTTTTTCTGCCATCATTATTCCCTTTTCTGTCCAGCTCTCAGATGCATAGCAAGTGACTGAAAAGATCTTGGCCTGAATCAGGTACACCCTAGTCTTCCAATTGATATTATTGCTACTTCAATAATCTGGAGAGGACCCTGAATACAGACTTTCCCAGTGCAATATATTTCCTGATCTCTTGACTGCTGGTACCAAAGATGTTGTTTGTGGATCTACGAAAGATGAAGTTGTAACAACTTCAATCTTTTCATGATGTTGCCTATGTGTCCAGGGGTGAGAATTTTTGTTTTATGAACACTGAGATGAAATCCATATTGAAGGTTATAGTCTTTGATCTTCTGCAGCAAGTGATTCAATTCTTCATCACTCTCACCAAGCAAAGCAGTGTCATCAGCATAATGTAGGCTATTGATGGGTCTTTCGCTGATTGTGGTATCATAAGGGTGTTGACTGTGGACATTTAGTAAGACAAGGTCACTGTCAATTTCAATCTTCTATCTATCATGAAATTGGCCCTCTGCCTCACAAAAAGCATACTATACAAATATTTTCACATATAATATAATATGTCCTAGAGTTCACTCCTTTACTGATGGGGATTTAGGTTGTCTCTAGTTATGCTATGTAGATAGTCTACTATAGTTAATGTATGTAATCACAAATAATATCAATGAATAGCCTGAACATGTATCTTATGTGTGCATACATTTTTAATGTATCTATTTTAGTAAGATACAGTCCTTGTAAAGTATAAATTATGTTAAACTTATCTACTAAACAGAATAATTTCTGTAATACTAAGTATTCAAAGGAAATAAAAAAAAAAAAATCAAAACGTAACCTGTGTAAGTGAATGTGGGGTTACTGAGAGATAAATAAGGGTCAGTAAATTTGCATTTCAAATTAAAAGTTTCTAAATCAATCCATAAGAATATACTTATTAGCAGAAGATATTAATGACCATACATCTTGCTTTTAGATACTTTCTTACATTAATTGTTAACCTCAAAGGACTAAACTAAGTACCAATTGTGTAATGCTCAGAGTTACCTTCTATTTTCGTGGAACCAAGCAATTCCAACAATCTCATTTCTTTTATGAAACATTTTGGAACAGAAATACTAGGTGAATAATCCTGGCTCCTCCCTATTCAAACATGTTTCTACAGTGACTTTATTTAACCATACCACAGGCAACAATATCCCTGTATAATATGCAAACACTGCTGTTTGATATATGTTCTTGTTAACTTACTTTTACAGTCTAGAGGTTTATGTCTATATTTGATGTCTACTGTATCTGTAACTGTAGGCCTCTGAAGGATGGAGATATCTATCTCAGCAAACAATTCACTGCCATCGAGCTAGAAGTGATTCACAGCTGATCCTCCAGTGAATTTTCAGAGCACTTCCTAAACATGCCTCTGGAAATTCTATGAACTTTGATAAATAATGACAGTTACAGAAAGGCTTCAGGCCTTCTGTTTCATAGAGTCACTATGAGTTGTGCTCGACTCAATGGCAATCAACAACAACAAAAACAAATCACACAGACTACTCATCTTTTGGCTTTTGAGTTGGTAGCACAACGCCTTACTCACTAGGCTATCAGAGCTGCTTGAAAGATTTATCTAATCTTTCTATATTGGGACTGAAAGAAACAAACACAAAGAAGTTTGCAGTCATAAAAAATGCTATCATATCCCAAATTGTGTAGACCTATGGTTAAGATCCTAAAGGTTTTATCTGTTTACTGGTGCTTTTGAAATAAATGTATACTGCACATATATTGTTTAATATGTATTAATTTTTAAAATTTTTTATTTTTTTTTTTAAAAAAAAAATAAAATTTTTTATTTTTGCTTTCTCCTTTAAAATAACTTTGTAATAAAATAACTCTGTAAAATAAAGATGAAATTTGCTAAACATTGAGAACTACTAAAACATACAACACTTACGCATCAGTGGTCTTCGTACACCCATTAAGATTCAGCACTTCAATGTTCCTACAGTTTTGTGCAAAAGTCCTTTTATAGGAAACAAAAAAAGTAAAAGCTCTCAAATGAAATACATAACACACCAGGAATGAAGAAAATAAAAGATTTTATTATTGGCAATATTGATTCTTGGTACCAAAGTGGTTCACAATTATGAATTTTAAACCAAAACTCTAAATACTGATTTTGACTGACAAATTCAAATGATTATGTGTTAGGTATTTAAAAATCATTTTAATATTTTTCTGGATAGAATGGTACTATATTTGGTGGGCCATTCAATCAAGAATATTAATCAATGGTTATGATCTTACCTTAACGCATTGTCTCCTACTCCAAGACACCCACGCAGACTCAATTTTCGTAAAAAGCCCCCACATCTTTTTGAAATATTCTCTACGACTCTGCCCTGTAAAAATAAACTATCTTACTGTTCTTCAAAAAAATACATCAACTTTTTATTATTATTATTATTTTGTGTGCGTGTGCCATCAAATCAGATCTGACTGGTACAGGAGGATACTGCGCCTCCTTCTCCAGCAGAGCATCTGGTGGATTCGAACCGTGTTCCTCTGGGATTGCAGTACAGTTTCTTGCCACTAGGCCACCAGAGCTCCCCTTACATCTACTTTATCAATTTATAAAAAAAAAGAGAAAAAAGTTTGTACTCATTCTAAAGATCTAAGTAATTACTTAAATTTACTTAAATTTCTACTTCTTCAGAGAAACCTCCTCTTACTAATCCATCTACCTGAAACATGGCTAATCCAATGTTAAACCTTTCTGAAGACAATGGTAAGTACTTGTGAATTTTAAAAAACTTCCTATCATGAAAAACCAATGTATGAACTTTGCATGTGAACCTGCGTAAAAAACCCCCACAAAACCCACCCCTCACCAATAAAAACTCCCAACTTCCTATAAAAAACAAACAAGAACCACTTCCTATCAAGAGAATTACTTTTACTGGAATTTAAAATAATTTTCTTATAACACTATAAGGAAGCTACTATTTCCACTCTCTTGAATTAAAAAAGAAAACAAAAAACAAAACAAAAATCCAAGGGTCAGTGAACTCAAATTTAATTTAAAGTAATTTAAAATTAAGTATTTGACTCTAAAGTCCATTATGTTTGTGTTAGAGATAATAGTTTATACTAAGAGATAAAAATACGGGAGAGACACAGAAGCGAAAAAAGAAAAGCTGAACAGTGCAACAAATTATTTTGTCTCAATTTTTATTCCCCATTCTTCCCCTAAAGTATATGGAATTTTCAAGAAACAAATGCTCATTTATATTTTAAAAAAAGAAACAAATTTAAGAATATATATGGTTGATCACATTTTGTAACTAATTAATCAACACTAATGTTTTATACAAAATGTCTACATGACCATTATGAATATCCAATTTGATTTTTAAGCCTTCACTCAAAAAATTTATTAAAAAACCATGTTAGAGCAAATACTGGTTCACTATATTACTATAAAACTTGATTAAAAAATTTAATTTCAGTGAACTAATTCTGCTCATTCTTAAAAAAAGTTCTTGGGTATTTTCAAAGGTTTTAGTAAAGTTCAGATACATGGAAATCAGTATTGTCTTTCTCCAGGGAAAAGATTTATGGCTTGGATTAATTTGTTCCATGCTGTAATTACACCTTAACAAGAGAAATGGGACCACACACCACATAATTATACCTCAATATCCCTCTGGAAATCAAACAGGTCAATTCGCTGCCAGTTGCTGCCATCCAGGGCCAGAACATTCCAAGCCTATTTTGAAGAAAACAGGAAAAGAATGAGCAAAAATTGAAATGAACAGGACAAGCTAGAAAGATTAAGGTTATAATTCAGACATATTATAAAGACAAAAATAATGTAAAGACAACGAAATAACCAATAACCTTACATTGATTCCCCAGACTTGCCTTATTCTTGGATCTATAAGTTATTCTCCATTAGAATTAGTTGGTATCAACTTCACAGCAAAGATTATGAGCATGAACTAAAAAAAGATACAACTCTCTGTGTATGCATTACTGCTTTAATGTTTTTCCTCATTTAAGTTTTTCAATTAATCATTCCTTCTAACTTGATTCAGCAGTAATTGTAAAAGAATCACAATACTTTAGCTTCAACAAGCACTAAAAGGAGGCTAAAAAGTTTCTGAGCTTTTAAATTTTTCAGGATTAGTTGAAAAATAACTACAGAAAGAGCTAATTTCCTATGGATAACTTTGTATTTTAACAATAAAACCTTTAAAAGTTTGCCTACAATTGCCACAGTGCTTGTCAAAGCCAGTTCTGATTAATCTCCTTTGTCAGTGTGTTCTTTGCCATTCCCTATCACTCCTCCCTGAGAGAGACTTCACCCTGATTCATAAGGAAAAGGGGATGGCGTAGTCTCTCCTGCTGAAAA